ATGCAAAGTGGAATTGAGGCATCCGTGTAGTGGGAGTTTAATTTGTTTACATCCCTGAGTACAGACATAAATATAGTAAACGGGAGTCCGCTGTCTTCAGTACTGAATTAATCTAGGGATTGGAGGGAGCTCTGAACGCAGCGAGGAACAAAACAATCTATATAAAATAGTGAATTTATTATTTATTGACAATCAAATGATAACTCTATGAATGCATATTGTTTGACAATGATGACAATCCGCAAATACTCGCATTACAGTAATACTCGTGTCTATTCGCTTGATTCATTCACTTTGTGATTTAAATTTTTTCAAGAACAAGGTCGTTGGAAATAGTATATACATGACCAATAACTGTTATTTCATAAAAAAAAATTAATAAGAATTAGAACGAAAACACATGGGTAAAAAATAAAATGAAATTGATAATAACTTGAAAAACGCGAGTTGCTGTGGGACAATAAGTACGATTTACGTTACACTTTTAACCGAAATTACACACAATAACGTCTGGTGAGTATTGTCGACTGATAAAACGATATGAATTTTACAATTTCCTGCTCTTTGCATACGTGCGAAGTATTCTCATTTAGTATCAATTATTATGGCAACAGGTATTGATAGCTGTTTTTCTTGATTAATACTGTCGACGAAAAGTTCCTTCAACCCCTTGTGAACAGGTAAAATATGACAATGGAAGAAGTTGAAGATAGGAAATAACGAAAACGTTAAGTTTTTTATGTACATAGGTAAAGAGATGGAGTGGCAGTTGTTTTGAAATTCTTCGTTTTCTCCCTAAAAACTCGCGCAAATTCGATAAAAATCCTGCGAAAAAACTACTGGATAGAAACACTGGAAATTTTCATTCTCTTGTAAAGTAAAAATTTTCCAAATTGATTCCGACGAATTTCTAGCTTCAAAGAAATAAATAAACTTCGGCTGAAGATTACTCTCAATTCCCAGATAAAATTCCATTTTTTTACCTAGTGGTTTTTCCGTAAGATCTCTTCGAATTGTTGGGGAATTGAATGGGTTCTGGTGGCCTTGAAAAATTCCTTGTCTCAGAGTCTCACAGATGATTCTGGAGAAACGAGAGCAGTGTCGTCTCGTAATGCCTGGTTGCGTCGAGACTGCGGAGGCTATGTCTCTCGGTGGGATATACCTGAAGTTGGTATGGTTTTCCACTCTTGACGAGGGCATTTATGAGCTCACTGGTGTGAAAGAAATGAACGTTCTCGTCCATCTGGCCGTGGATAATGAGAAGGCGATTCTCTTCATCTGGAAATTTACTGGCGTACGTTATGACAGAGCTGGTCATGTAGCCGTAAGAGTTGTCCCGCGGTAAATCCATGTATCTCTCAGTATAGCCAGTGTCATAGAGGTTCCAACAGGTAACTGGAGCTCCAGCGATAGCCAATTTGAACATTTTGGGATACTGAACGAGCCCCATGAGACTCAGATAGCCACCGTACGACCAGCCATGGAGAGCAACTCGATCCAAATCTATGTATCCAAGTTTGACCGCCAATAATTTCAACACCTCCACCTGGTCACTCAATTCCACGAGGCCCATTCTTCTTCGTATGTGGCTCTCAAACACAAGACCTCGATAGTGGGAGCCACGTGAGTCGATGAGGACGACGCAGTAGCCCTGAGAGGCTAGCATGTGCATCCTCAAGTGCCTCATTCCTTTAAAAGTATTTGAAACTAATTGAACCTCTGGCCCACCATAAACCTGAAGGATTGTGGGATACCTCTGCCCAGGTTGGAAATTATGGGGCCTGAATACCATTGAATAAATAGTATCCCCTGAAGATATCTTGTGTGCGTAGATCGATGGGGCTAGCAATTCCGTTTCTGAGATCGAGGGTTCCAGCAAATACCCAACTGGCGTTAAACTTATGCTCTCTACACTCCAATCTGATTGAGATAATCTGAAGACTTGACAGGTGGGCAATGTCTTAATAGAACTATAGACAGTCACCATCATGGTGCACTGTTTATTCAGATAAATGCTATTGTAGCTGTGTCCCGGTCTGGTGAGTAGTCGGATTTCGAGGGGTCTTCCCAGGGAAACAGCATATGCATGCTGCTCGAGAGGCCCCTCCCTCAACCCAGTGAAATAAACAATGCCATGAGCCTCATCGACCCACAGCTTTCTCCCCAGGACTGGCCACTCACCCTGAGTTATCGCAATCTTCGAAATAATCCGCGGCTGCAAGTAGAAACTGTTCAACATGTCCAGTGGTTCCTCCACCTCATTACTAAAGCCGGCTATGCTCGAAGTGATCAAATACAAATGCATAAACTTGGACTCCTCACTGCCCCAGATAAACTTTACCTCCTCGGAATTGTCAGAGGGAAGAAAATACAGAAGATCATTGACATTGATCCATATCGAATTCTGTTCAACATAAACCACTTGAATACTCGCTAAAGACGGTGTGAAGTGATTCTCAGAGTTGTAGATGTTGGGCGGGGGCTCGCAAAAATTATCGACAGACAGCAGAACCAGCTCGAGCCTCTGCTGCTTTCTGTCCAGGAGCTGAACCCAGACGTACTGAGCGTCTGGGGTCCAACCCACCCTCACTAAGTACTCCATACTGGGGAACATAATGTGGAGGGGAAACGGAAGCTCCAGAATTTCAATATCGACAATCTGAAGTGTCTCAGTTAATCGAAACTGGACAATCTTGAGATTGCTCTTGGCATTCAACGCGCCAGCACGTGGAAACCTGAATTCATCGACTTCCCCAGAATTGAGAGTAGAAGAGGGAAAACAGAAAATCTTCACATCACTCTCGTCAACCTCCTCGTATACGATGCGATAAATACCGTCTGTGGATTTTGGCTGCCACCAAAAGCCGTTGTACCTCGTGAATTCCTCTTGCATAACATAGGATGGAGTGCCGGCTGTGAGGGGATCCTCAGCCAAGGTTCTACCTCCTTTTCTGGCGTGAGTAAGCCTCACAGAACACCCTGTTATCAAGTGGGAGAGGTGAATGTCACCAGCGCAGGTGTAGGCCACCAACGATACATTCCAGGGGCATATCTGGGGGCAGAGTTTGGCTCCTGAAGTGGAGATCCTCAATTCAGAGGGAAATAGCGGACCCGATCCAAAGCCAGTGTCTACACATTGGTAGAGACTACTTGCTGCTGGAAATACCAGTTTACCACTCTCCTGGTGCAATTCGTAGCTTGTGATTCCCCAAGTTGTCAGTCTTTTCCTCTCCCACAGGAGTTGCTCCTCCCTCGACAGTCTATTGGCACTTGATACACTAGAATTAACATCCGTTCCATTACCAATTGCCTACTCTATTAATCGTGCAAAACATTGGTGTCTATCTACCTTTGAAAATTAGGTTCGATTATCGGTTGCCAGTGAAATTTACATCCTTTCACGTGATCAGACTGTCCAACATCAACGTACAGCAGAGTTGTCTCCCAACCGTTGCTTGGAGTCCCCAAGAAGTAGATCCTAATCCTGAATAGAATAATTGAGCATTGATATTGATGTAGAGAAATTTATGTAATTTTATCAAACTCACCGGCCATCTGGTAATGATCTGAAGGTGACAGCATCCGGTACAGATCCGTCAGATGCACCTGACAGACGTCTCCGAAACTCACTAACTACTCCACGCAATTCAGACCACGACTTTTTCAACTCTCTACTGGGTTCATGGCTAGATCTGTCTCCTCCTTCTTTGCAGATCTCCATATTTTTTTTTAATCACACCTCTTCAATATTGGAGCATCAGCGATGAAACGACTTCGAAGGTTTCAAAAAGCCCGATATCTTAACAGAAAAAAAAAGCACATGAGACAATAAAATTGTTCTTAAATTGCAAATGAAAACTCCAAATTTTTATTTCAACATGAATCTGGTGAAGTGCTCCAGACTTTCATGGGTTTGAGGTTATGCTCGATAATACTTTCACTTGCCTCCCGTAATGATCGTTTGCTCTCGGTTCACTCGTTGTAACATCAAATTTAAACAATGAAGAATTTATAACAATGCGGCATGTCAAGTGCAGAGGGAAATACCGCAGGTAACATTCACTCCAATCTGTCGTATCCTAGTTGTCACCAAGGTACCTGGATTGGGACAGTATTTAGGCCGGTGCAGGCCGGTCGGTGCCCCCCAACTTTACAAGTCAGCCTTTATGAACTCTCTGTACAGCTGGTAAGGAGAATTCCTCCTTGATTCATCCTCTCAAAAAAATAGAGTTCCAGTTTCCACCGATGAACACGCTAGTATCACACGCCATTCAAACGGCTAACTTCATTTATTCTAAAGCAAATGTCACGAAACAGTTGAAAATATTCTGTCATCAAATAATTAATCTTTCAGAGTGTGTTTCAAGGACATTTCTATTTGATCTCACGATGTCCAACAGCAAGCCCTCAATTAAATGTCCTCCAAAGATGGATCTTGCATTGACCACTGGGATATACACAACAGCTCAAATTAAAAAAAATTACGGGGTAAGTTTATTCTCTATCCCCGTAATTATCATGATGAATGAATTGACCTTTGAAAACCAATTATTTATATCCAATTTGGTAGATGATACCGTGTTATCACCCCGGAAGTTTTTCACCGTTCATTTACATCGACATGCTGTCGAATTCCCGATAGGTCCATTCAATATGAATACTAAAACCTTCATCAGGATGTGTACACGTATTATACCTATATATCCCAATCGTACATCTCTTTCGTCTCGCGTTCGTTCGTTCATCGAGCGATTTGCGCTTCGATAAAAATTGATATCAATGTGGGTTTGAGCCGGGAGAAATGGAAAGGATAAAAAGAACAATGCGCTACGCAAAGTACTTTTTTTCCCCGGGGTAATCCGAAGACTGAGTTGAATTTTCTTGAGTAAATAAGACGGAATGCTGAGAGCTGAATAAAGAAAAGAATTCACTGGGATTCTCCAAGTAGCCACTGGCAAAAGAATGTCATGTTATGTCGCGAAGAAATCTCGGTGACGCGTTTCTGTATCGGGATAACAGAAATCCAGTGAAATTCACTGAATGCGCGCGCAACGTCCGTCTGACCAAAGCCGATGCTGAACTACTGGTGTTTGCACTCCTGTTCCCCAAGCATTTTCCCTCGTCATGCCCTTCTCCAGGATAAAAATCAATTTTCAAATGTACAGAAGCACAAATACCCTCATTTCAATGGAATTTTTAGTGTCAACTCAATTAGACAAATTTACCCTCAGAAATTCCATCTCCATGAAAAGAAGAGAAATCAATTTTCCACCTGGAAATGATTTTCCCGTGAGCTTTGGTTCATCGGTTTGTGTCTGAAATTTAGTACGCACGTTTATTCGTTTATGAAAGTTTCGTTTGGACGATGGAAAAATGGGGAAATTTTGGTGGTATCGCTGGAATTCTGTGGCCCATCGAAGAAACCCGCTTTGAATCCCCGGTGAACAGGAGAGCATAACAGAGTAGTCTGCTATTAATCCATTTCCGCATTCCTTGCCACCTGGAACATCCACTTCCTCGGTGCTCCTGTTATCCGCCCATTTCGCCGGTGTTTTCGGACTTTGCAAGGCCGCGGGAGGTCGCGTTCACATTGCCATTGCGTGGAACGTGTACCTTCATCTCTCACTCTATCATACCAGTCTCTTTTTTCAACCCTATCACCATTATCCCACAAAATAACTCGTTATTCATCCCGAAGTATAAATTAAACCTCTGACATTTTGTCGCAGACATCGTATTAACGAAATCATGCGACTCCAGGGAACATCTGCTCGATTATCCCCCGGGTCGATAAGATCCGAGAATTTCCCCTTTCCCTCTCGTCAAACTGGGAGTGCCCCTTGCGTTCATGACCGTAGGTTGACCCAGACAACTTGTTCGAATTGTCGATAGGAGAGTCTAGGATTTTTTATACTCGATTCGAATGCAGACGTCATGAAAAACAAGAGTCGTGTAATCGTAACCATCAGTTAATCATCTTCTTTGAAAAATGCCCTGCACAAGGATCGATTTATCCTCGTGATACTCCATCTGTAATTCAGTATTTATTACGATCCTGTGTATGTGCACACGTGCCTAGTTTCTCTCTGGATGTTGTCAGAAGAAGGAGAACTGGCCACGTGATCAATACGAGAAGAGTCGGCGATAGAAAGCCGAGACATTCTCTATGTACTGCTGGGGGCTGGAAAAGAGGGTGTAACGAGCCCACTAATTAAAGCCTCAATCAACTCACGTTTCGTTTGATATCAAAATTAAAATATTCCACCGGGTGATTATAATCAACTGATCGACTAATTGCTGAACATAACGAATTTCATTCAGCGCATCGGCGGACACGAGTTGAATTTAACGCTCCGACTCCCTCTATTATGCGAAAGGGAATAAAGAATTCCGGTCTAGGGCGTAAAGTCACAGACTGGCCGGCTTACGGAAATAATATTTTATTCACTTCCAAACGTATTTCTCGGTGGTGAGAGGGTAAAAGGGGATCAAAGTTGCATGGATACGTTGGCATGGTGAATGCAATTTTATAACCTCTCCAGTGCGCTTACGACGTACATAAGAAGGAGAAAGGGGTTGGAAATTTTATCCTCTCGAGCCTACACCCACAGAAATTACAACCCCACTGCTCATACCTCAGTTGAATTATTTTTCATTGCGGCAAACCCCTTTGTCCGTTTATTTTTTTATACTGCCAATTTTATTTAGAGTATTTTCCTAGTGAAAATGAGAAATCGTTGTCCATACGATGCGTTAAATAAAATTCAAACGAGATGAGCTTTTCATAACAACCGTGAAACTGATCTGATTCCCTATAATCCATCGAATTCAGAAAGATAATGGAGGGTAGTTCACAAAAGCAGGGGAAAAAAAACTCCCACGTGCCACGCAGCTATTATTCCGTAAACGTTCTGGTGAGGGGACCCCGAGAGCTTCACGGAGGATTTCTTTATCACTTTACTCAGGGAAAAATATTCAATACGACGAGCTGCATTATGTAACTCGGACCCACAACTTGCGAGAGGGAGGCAGATGTATGGTGAACCCACCGCGAGAGCAACGCGAAGTGGAGAAAAGTTGAGACGCGGTTCGTCCCTCGCATTCCAAATAACTCACCCCCATCCAGCTCCGTAGACGGAGGGAAAAAAAAAATATGAGGGAAGAAGAGAAAAAAAAAAATGTTGAAGAGTCACGGATCAAGGGCTAAAAGGGGTTCACTTAAAAGCCACTTCTAATTAAATTGCCGCGAGAAAAGACAAAAAAAAAAGACTCCGGCTTTAACGAGTCGATCGATTTAGCACACTACTTTTACCCCCGTCGTATGTACCGGGGTGCGGAGGGATGTGAACAGCAGGGGGTAGTTTTCTGGGTCGAAGTCCTTTTCTCGCGTGCCCACAGCGATGTTGAGTCTGCACGACACGTCTAGATCCAAGATAAAGCATACTCGTTTATGATATTATAAATTAGGGGGACCTCTCAGACAAACTCTCGCAGGGAGAAAAATGTTGATAAAAAAAAAAGCCTAAACTCACACGAATCAACGAGTAATGGAATGCCAGGAGTAATGCATGTATCCCTCCGAGGAATCCACACATTCTCACACCCCGAGACATTCATCGACGGCTCGGGAATTCGATAGGATAATATCTTTGCCGTGTTGTGTCGTGTTCATGCACTTCCGGTAATATCATCCTCGAAGATGCTCCCCCACATATTTCTCCACTCTCTACCCCGTAGACCTCCCCGTGGCCTGCACGTCCCTCCCCAGAAATTCAGGGCTCTATTCCTCGGGATATAAAACCCTGAGATGCCTCTTGATCACGCCACCCATGAAATTATGTTGCCGGATGTTCAACATGGAAGCTTTCATGTTTTAAAAAAAAAAATAATATGGCAATGGGAGGTGAATCCTCCCTTTCTTGGATGGCTTGCATTAAACATCACGAGGGTAATTGTCGAGCGAGAGAGCTATTGTGGAGTATATTATTTCTAGGGGGCACTATAGCTTTATAAATATGAGATATTGCACTCGCGGGAGTTGAAATTTGCAGGAGATGAAGCCCTGTTGTGACATTTCCTCATCACCTAGGAAGCATTCACCCCTCGTAACTGAAGGAAATATTACACCAGGATTGTTGTCTCCTCGAGTTTAACGTTACGCTACATCCTGGCGAGATCGATAATCTTAGCAAGTGCATTCAGCATTCATCATTTTGTTGTCTCTTCGGGGTGATAGGAGGATAGAAGAAAAATAAATGGTAAATGTGGAGAGAAATTTTCAAGAATAGTAAAAAATAGGATAAAAATGGAGAAGACAATGGGTTTTCGAATCCTAAGGGCATCTGGTTGCCGGAGGGATGGATATAAATCCTTTGAGAGTTGTATTCTGTGCCCCAGGGGTTCAAAATATCGATCCTTTGGCCCCCTGGTGAGCTAGCTCGGTATTATTTCTCAAGTCCCTTCGTCACACCCATCCTATCCACTCGCCTCTTTTATACTTACCCCCTAGTCACCCCTTACTTGTGAGACGAGTTATATCTCGTACCCTCACTTCAATTTTGAGACACTATCAGCAATACAGCAATGGGTTTGTCGTGTGGGCGATTTTCATCGGACTGGTGGCGTTAAGGGGATATGATCAGCATTGAGGGAGACATGACACTGAATTTGCATTAATTTATCGTTGGTGTTGTTCATTCGCGGTGATGATGCTATATGGAGCGTGTTTGCTACCTTGGGAGAGCATTACGCTTCAATGCCGACTCTAATTACTTCATAAGAAACTTTCTCATTTCCAATTCTATTTTTTTTTTTATCCATCCAATCGGAGGGAGAGTAGCATAATTACCTCTCAAGGTCGACCAGATTGGGAAAATTAATGGTGGGATGAATAAATGCGCCACTTCACGTGTTTATTTTTTCATCTTTTCTTTTTCACCGAATGAACGATGTTATCCCGTTTTTTTTTTTTGGAACAAAGGAGAAAAATTTTGATGCTGTGATAAAAAATATCCAGGCCTGGATTTTTTTTTATATCGATTATTACGTTATCCACACGCATGAACACTTGTTTTTCTTTTTCTCTTCTCGGATTCTACAAATACCCGGGAATACATAATATATATTCATATATTTTTTTTTATGTACATTTTGTACTTGAGTAAACATATAAAAGCACTTACATATCGTCGAATATTTTTCTCCTAACACTTATAAATAGATTAAGTACATATTTATAAATACACGTAGTACACTAGATTTTTGCATTACAAATCTCACGTTCATCATTGATTTCAGTTATATTTGACTAGAAAAATCCGTAACTCGCATTTTCTATTAAAATTCTTTAATAACTTTTCATTAAAATATATTCAAATAAGTCTTTGATTTTCCTTTTTGGTCGAGATTTGTCTCAGCAGTAACAGTCCTAAAGTCAAAAATAGTCAATAAATCTACGCTATTACAATTACGGAAAACGAAAATAATGTCTTTCATTCCATCGTTGTAGTTTGTTGATGACTCCTCGATATAGGCTGTGAGGATAAAAAAATAAGCGAAAAGGGGCAATAAATTACGATAATCTAGAACGAATACAGATAAAATTGCAACTACAATAGATACACATCAGCAACTAGATAAGTGTCATGGAAATGAAAAAATTGATTAAAAAAAAAAATGCATGAAAATATCTTTCTCTTATTCAACTCGAATAAGGGCATTCCCATTGGTGATACCACAGTGTAGGTGAGGATAGATAAAGGGGAATAGCTGCTCTAGGACGCACTCCTTAAACCACCCATTACCATTCCTCAAGGAATCCCATCCAACTTCTAAAATCCAGTACATTCTGCTCTCGCACTATTTCTCCACCCCCCCATGGATATGAATTGCTCCTTCCTCTTGCCACTGCTGTGCGGGTATTCTCCTGAAAAGGCCTTTGGCAATAAAAAAAAATAGTAGTAGAAAAACAATAAGGATAAAAATGAGTGAAAAAAAAAGGCAGAGTCCATCTCTGCTGTTGTAACTACGTTAAATCTACAGTAAATTGCTCACTACGTCATCCTGAATATTCTCCACAGACGAGTGTAGGTATTTCAATAGTCTGGGGGTGTAACTTCAACGAAAATAATGAATTCTCAATTATCCATTGGATTTTATTGGTGTTTTCAAAGAGGTAGGGGTGGTATGAAATATATCAAGCGATGTTAGCATGGAATAAGATTATTTTTAATATGTTTTCAACAACAACAGGTACAATAAATCAGTTTACCTGTAGTATACACGGTGGTCGTATCTGTCATTCGGCTTCTGTTCGACTTGTTCCCGTTTATTATTTTATTTTAATTTTTTCACAAAAATGTCCCATTGAATTTGAATTTTAATTCCCATCTAAATATCCGAATTTCACTCTGTATGACTCCCCACCACCGTCGTAAAAAGCATTCCCCCCTCCACCATCACCATGATTCATATTTTCTCTATTCTCTCAATTAAGATTAATTTCATTAGAGAATAATCTCGTGTTTAATTCATTCAATAAATTACGGTAATGCTACACATTTTCTAATTTCGGATTGGGCTATCTAGCGATTTTTGTGGAACTCGGGCTATTTATTATCTCCAACGAGCAACGATCCTTGTATCACGTACAAGGATAAGATATATATCGAAATAACGTTATTGTTTATTTATTGATGATAAATAAGTGAGTGTTTGCTCGAAGGAATGCATTGCAGGGCGAGCTTGGTTTAATGTGCTACAATCGAAGCATTTGTTGACACATAAAATAATAACATGTATTACAAACCAATAAATCAACTTATTACGCAAATATCGCTAAAACTTAGACAGTATTAAATGATTATAATAAATAAATTACTACAAAATATGAGATTTGTTCATTCGCATCGGAAATGTTGGCTTTATAGAGTTAATCAATAATATAAAGGACTAGAATGATTCATCATTGAATTATTTCGGAGATTGAACAAATCTTGGAGAGTAACAAATATGGCACATCTGATAAATTAAAATAACTAAAATTTGGATATTCTACAACGTGAGTCTTTCATATTTTAAGTATACAAGCTAGTGATATTATTTAATGTTACCTTTGTTTTTATCACGTGAGATAATATCATTTCTACTCACTACAGACTACATTTTTTTTTTCTTTCTTTACCACTGAGAGCGCGAGGAATCTCTCGATATGATATTTTACATTGTCACTCTCAATCATCAATCGAAATAATTATACGATCGAGATTCCTCCCCCCTCCATCATCTAAGTGCGACACTACAATCGACAACGCGTGTAATGTTTATTTGAAATGTATTTTCTTTAACTAGGGTTCATTCTAATTAGACTTGCTAAAGCTTAATCACTCATTATCATTTATTTACAAAAAAATCTCTTATGCTCTTAGGCACATGGGGATAGAATGAGGGATTGATCTAAGTGAATGGGATTGGGAGGAAAGGTGAGATATGTCGAGCCTTTCTTCCACTTTTCAAAAATCTCAAGAATACTAGGATCTTATCCTGAGTATGAAATATTAAATAAAAAGTGACAGTTAAACGAGTCTCAACGAGCACTGGGATGAGATTGAAAAAATATATTATATCTTATTCGATAATTATGATTTTTTGTTCTTCTCCTTCTCCATATGTTTAAGTTCTTCATTATTTACAGGCACGTGAAGTGTCAAAGTTTGTTTGGATGAAGGGAGTTGATACTATGGAATGTCAAGAATCTCAAGATGTCAATTCATTTGGTGACTAGAATTTCAAATAATTATAAAATAAAAACTACTCATGTTCAAAGGAATCGAACAGGTTTATCGAATCTCCCTTTATCCTCTCTGAGAACGGAAAACTAACGTATATTCACGTGAAATATATTTACAATGACTCTCACCAGGGTTTCACTTTAATCATACAGAAATTCCCGTGAATAATACTCCTCAGAAATTGATAAGTCTCATGAAGTGGTTATGAATTTGAGTGAGGAAATACAATTCGAGCAGTTTATCATCGATTGCATAATAATTCACTGGATTTCAATACTCAATCTCAGACCAATTGACTATTATTTGTCACTCACCGGTAGTACATTATCACCTTACTTGTGAGCGTATTTACTTGCAAGTAATTGGCTCACCCCTTGTTGACATCTCTGTGGTACATTCCAATGTGTCTGTACTGTATCCAATGAATCGAGTTAACTGGACAAGCCCAGAGGAAACCTTACTGGCTAAATCGTGAAACCCGTTGATTATTATTTTCTTTGTTTCTTTTTCTCTCATTTCATGTAATCGTACTGGAAGAACAAGACCCGGCCATTAAATCCGGCTTAATTATTATTTCTCATGATTCATCGATTATTCTTCTCTTCACTTGAGTAACCACTAATGATTATTAAAAGGAAAGGCGTGGGTCCCATGTCCAAAGTGCCTCGAAAATTTTCTACATTATTTTCCATAATTTTCCATCTAAATTCAACTCTATCTCTCCATTCAATGGACTCTATCAACGCGAATAAGCATATTAGTACTTTTTTTCTTTTTTAATATCACTTACATTGTCAGTCATATGATTTCACAACAACGATGATGCGTAATTAATGTACTGATAAATAAAAGTGACAGTGAAGACACGATTTAAACTGATCCATCGATTTTCATCCCTTAACGACTAAATCGCATGCCATTGAATGCCAAAACATGAACCAATTGAGGGGTTAAATTTCCTCGTAGTTAGTGCTGTTGTTGTTTTACACATGCAATGTGCACTCCAGTACAGTATCTAAGATTCCTGGCGATTGGCCAGAACATGGGCAGCAATTCCTGGATCGTCACACACACACACACATATGTTACACAATTTTAATGGATAAATCTACACATTTGATAGGGTATGAGGGAAGAAAAAAAATAATAATTGTGATGGTACTAGCGAAGTCGTGCCAACAGGTTGAAGGTCTGCTTTTCATCGAATTTCTTGAAATGTTTTAATTATAAATTAGCCTTTTTTTTTTCCCACCTCCGTCACTTCCGTGTCCCTCGATCCGTGATTTTTCTAGTGAATAAATACCAACAAGAAGATGCCAGGTGGATTATCCATACAAAGACCTGAGATAGCTATTTCAAAGCCAACTACTTTCACCTACAGTCTACGTGTTTGGATATAGTTTAAATCAATCCTTACCTGATGATGAGGAAGATCATCTCGATGTGTTGGAAGCACTCTCTTGTCGTCAGATGTATCAGAATTTTTCTAGTCTCGTTTTTAAATTTTGTTCCTCTTTTTTTTTTCCATAACTTGAAGGAGCTATTAAGGCACTCGGGTAAGTGTAAAGATTCAGGGGAATTATCGGAGTATTCCTCATTTCTATAAAATTACTAGAGCCTACTTTACCTCCAAAAAGCTTTCGCGTAGAGCATAATGAACTTCTATTGACACACAAGATACTTCTCGAGTCTCACTCAAATTGAACTCTGATACTCATTAATCGGATATGTACAGGGGATTTATGGGATTGATGGAGAGGGACTGGTGATTTTTTGTTTTACTTTGGTAGTTAGAGGTGCCAGAGACTAGCTAATGCATGCTCTACACAATTCCTGCTGGTGTACACTTTAGACCGCACTTTTTTTTGTCAAATAAATAATGAAGATAACACTGAAAATAAAAACGAGAGCTCAAGAGTGCCGAGTTACAGCTCTCGGTTGGTCTAGTGTACTTTCGAGTTTGAGAACACACTCAAGTCCTCCAAGAATCATGTGTTATAATGAGACGATGAGTGTGGAAAAATGAGTTAAAGAAGAGAATCTGTTGTTTTTCTCAACAATGCTATTAAGAATAAATGAGTTTAGTAAATGGACCAACCAGAGTGCAACACGGAACGAGATTGAGGATAGAGAGGGGTCTTTATCGGGCTAATTACAAGCTCAATATTAATAAGCCAATTAGCTCCGACTTCAAACCCTGGAGATATTTCTACTTAGCGCTGAAGAAGGGATAAAATAACAAAATAGATAATTGATACAAATATTCAAATAAATTATTGAAACAGGAGAAAAAGATAATGTAACAGAGAGTTAGATCTATGCTTACTAATTACAGAGATTCCATTTTAGAGGAGTATTTTTTTGGGGTAGAAGATGATACAAGGGATGATACACAAAGAGGTTAGCTACCAGTTGTAAACGACTACTTTATTGGCAATTTCACTAGGCATTTATCTAATCTAAAATTTTTTTTTCCAACTTTTCTCTTCATTTTCATGTATAACTGCTGTGTTATGTATGGTTTGAGAGTTTATTATTTTTTTTTTCATGTGTATGGTTGACGCTATGTCGATCATAGTGTCGATGCCTCTCATTTCGATGGAAGTGAGACACCGGTTCCTCGAGGGCCCGTGGATATACCCCCTCGAATTTATTTTCTATCATATTCCGTCTAATAATGATGGTGTGTGATTTGGGGTTAATTAAATTGATAGAATAGTGGGATATTGGTGAATGGATATAAGAGTTGGTGGATGTGGGATGGAAGCACAAAGAATGCGGAGTTTAGCGTTCGATCCTTCGGGGGGTGTCCCGAAGTAAACCGACGCGCGCACCAATCGGGGGATGATGCCTAGTTATTTCCCCTTGCAATGCTTGGAGGAGACACCCGTTGGAACGATCGATCGGTAGACGACAGAGTAGGATAGAAAATTTAGAGGAGGATCACAGACCAACTAAAACCAACCCAACCAACCAACCAACCACCCACCCATCCCCATATTCACAACCCCTCGAGGACGTGTGTTCTCTTCTGTACACAAATGCTTGCCTCGTTCTGCTTTCACGTGCAGACCGATCAGATGTCATTTTTTTTTCTTTCATATTTTTTCTTCCTTTTTTTCTCCACCCCCTTCTTGCTTATCGTATCTTCAAGCTCATCCGTTCGTTCTGCATGCGAAATTTGGGCGTGACACATGAATTTTTAATGAGAGCTAAATATTTGTATATCTGTAAGTACTTCCTTCTCTCTTCAGCCAATTTGAGCCTCACGTATTGACAATAGACAGAGTGATGTTTTGGCGTACGTGTAGAGTTCTGTATTGTTTGATAATCGTGGTAATAATGGCGTTGTGACAGTACTACTAACAATAACAAGCTTTGATGCAGAATCACAATTAATAATAGTTGTTGATATCTATTGGAAAATACGGTCACTGGTTATTATGAATTCACATGTTGCAGATCACTACAGTATTCGCCGTTTTGTTTATTTTCAAACTCTTGTTTTTATCGGTTATTCGTGAGGTTACAGGTTGATGCGAATGACTCATTGACGATTGGAAGTATCAATTGCACGTACACGGGCAAATATCAAATTATCGGTCAATACGAATGACACGGAAACTTGTAACTTCAAGAATGGTGAGAAATGATAGAGTGAATAGAAAAAGAAGACTAATAATTTTGAGGAGAATTATCAACCAGCATGCTTCATCTAATGTAAACATTATATATAAATAAATCATGTATCACATGATAATTCATACTCTCAAAAACTAATGGATGGTTAGCGTTCAAAAAACTAAACTACGCATTACTGTTAACATTCGCTAGTCAATATTATCCCGAATGTACAAAGAATCTTATGAATGGAGAGGTATTGTTCTGTACTATTACTGTTTTTTTTCTTTTGTTTGTTATTTCAACGGGAGCACAACGGGAGTCTATAGATTATGAAAAATTGATAATGCAAATCTACCAATGGCCGTTGATAAATCAAATAAAAGACACTGTCGTAACCTACATGCTCGTCATGTCTAATGGTCAATGCACCTTCTATCATCAAAATTGGAATTTCCTCTTCAGTTTTTTTCTCAACTAAGCACTCGTACACGCGACTCACACACTCACGCTCATTTCCTCTTGTATGTTAATTTTTTTTTTTTGCTTTTTGTTTTTCTCACTCTCATGTCAGTCTTGCTCATAAGCAAAGACCATAAGTACGTATCATTTTAATGACAATATTCAAGAATATGTGTTAAATATAAATTAATAATACTCGTGGGGTGTCGCGAGTAACAATATTTGTTTTTTACTCTTAACTTATGACGAAATGTATATTGAATATCACTCGCACGTCATCACCTGCCAATATTTCGTGAAATTTCCTATTACTAGAGATATTACTCATCATTTCTCATGATTATTCTCCACATGTTTGAACAGTTGAAACGAGGAGCCGCATTTTTATCCGCATCTCCTCGCGTATTAGTGTCCATTAAATTATAATGATAATTAACTTATGAAGACATATACAAATGTATGCATATGCTACTCGTATTGTATGCTGCCACATCTTTCTAACTTCCGACGTTAATTAATTGAGTAATTCACTTATTGCTCGATATATCTCAAATTCGACTTGTCTCATTTTTCTCACTCATAAAATTTTCCTCTCGCCTATCTCATTATTATTTGGCTCTCAACTGAGAACACATTTCAGTCCAAAATTTTAGAAAAAGATTTAATCATTATGAGTGTGAAAAAATCACACGCGTTAACTTATTCACATATCTAATCTCTCTCTTGAGCTAATCTCAATGTGGATTTTATTATTAGAATAATAATCCTGTATTCTTGTTATCGCTTTCGCGTCACTTACGTTACTATTGAGTATCCTTAATGATTGAATAACTATGAAATAGGATTAACGCGCGACCCGGCACACGCCAATCAATATAATACGTCCTGGTGCATTATCCCGTACGTGATATTATCCCTCATCTTCTAATTTCAATCATTCTCTTTTCCTCATCCTCTACTAATAATCATCTTACCCTAATTATTCAATCGCTTTTTATCATTTTATTTTGTAAACGATGGCTATTCATTCAGATGCCATGGAGAGCAGAGAAATATTGTCTTCCATTACTCGAAAAAAAAATATATATTTAATATGCATATTATTACTTATCAGTAAGTATTGACAGCCCATCGATCTTCATTGTTATTTTCATTCTCATTAAATTAATTATCAATAAGTCCATTATTATCTGATTATTACCGAAAACAATTCAAGTCTAATCAAAGGGGAGCATCCAGTGGGATAGAGTATTTTTCAAATAAAAGAGTATTGCGTTAATATCTTCCTCACTTACTCGAGAACACATTTCGGATTGATATTTCAGGGCATTACGATGCTCGAACAATATCAACGAAATTCAATCAATCAAGATGAAAAATAAAACATTCAGTATTTTATTCACCAAACTACGAGCCGTTGCGCAACTAGCGCAAACTGATAAAATGAAAAAAAAAAAGAACAAAAGAAAGATTTAAAAAACTATAAGTATTGTTAATGGCTAGAGAAGCCGGAAGAACGGAGCGCAGATGAAGAGAGATCGATTGAACATACATTCAATAAATGAAGAGAGTGTTAAGGACGGTGCGAAGAGAATAATTAATATAAATAATAATAATGAAAAAAAAACGAAAGAAAAAAAAATCAGACTTGCATTCATCTGGCTTGACATCTTCCAAGATTGAATTTAACACGTTTATCCTCTTCCATTATTCCCAGGGTAATCTCTTCAACAATTTCCACAGTCTGACCGATTGCTCCAACTGTTCCAGTATCCAAAGCTCTCGAAGAAAGATGCAGAGTGGCACTGACTCCCATTAATTATCCACAATTGAATGAAAATTTAAACGTACATCCCCATACCGTACATTGAGCCCCAGTCAACGCCCTGGAAACTCGACATATCGACATTCGTAAGTGAATATCCCTGATAAGGATTGCCAGGTGGCGCTCCAGCTTGTGGCTGTGCAGCTGTGGCTGTTGTAGGTGGTGCGGGTGCCGTTGGTGGTGCTGTGGCAACAGCAGTTGGAATAGGATAGGGTGCATATCTATACGCCGATAGCGCTGGATAACTGCTTGCAAACAATTTTCCATAACCAGCCACAGCGTTCTGCACCTGTGCAGCAGCAGCTGCCGCTGCGGCTGCCTGTACCTGGGCCTGTGCCTGTGCAGCAACGAATTGCGATGCCGTGGCAACTTGCAACTGAGGCTGTGGAGCAAGTCGAACACCCAGTGCACCCAGAACAACTCGTTTACCAAGTGCAAGGGCACTTTGCTGGACAGCCTCTTTAGGCTGCGCCTTCTTGCACTCCACCTTCTTGTTCTTAATCGTGTGAAAATGTATTTCACAAACTCGATCAACAACATCCTCATTCTCAAACGTCACAAACCCAAAGCCACGATGTCGCTTTGTTTGCTGATCCATCAGCATAACCGTCTCCTCGACTTTACCAAACTGATTGAAATAAGCTTTAACTTCGTCGCTACTTGTGTCTTGGCTAACACCACCCACAAATATCTTCTTCGTTCGATTAGCCTGTTTAGCACGATTCTTTGGTGTCGCGTGTTTCGGATCAATCTTCTTGCCGTCCAGCGTGTGAATGGGACATTTGAGTACTTTGTCGACACTGCCAGGCTCAGCGAATGTGATGAAACCAAAACCCCGACTCCGCTGAACAAATTTTTATTCAACATACAGTTAATATATGCACAATAGGATGAGTTTTTTCACCGCCCAGAGACCGTGTATGACGAGTATCCATGTATCCATGAATATTTACAATATTTACAAATGAACATGCAAACAACTGTAGCCTTTTGATGATGAGTGGAGTGTCCATGCACGGTCCCTGTAATGATTTTTCAACATACGTTCATCACTACTAACCTGCGTGACTGGATCCTTCATTATTAATACATCCGTCACGGTGCCAAACATGCCAAAGTACTCCCTGAGCTTTTCACTACTCGTCTGCCACGACAAACCACCGACAAACAATTTTCCCGGTGCTGGGTCACCACTGTTTGGCGTACTCCTGCCGGAGCTACCTGAATGGCTACCGTTTATTGGCACTAGGGCATTGTGAAAATCGTGCTCCAGTGCACCATTCGCTGCCTCCATGCCAGCGCTGAAACACAAATAAACAAACAATTGATTCATACGGGAATTAATTGACGGTGTGGTTGTGTTAATGAAACGAGAATAAATAAAAATATACCAATATCTAGGTTCAATTATTCGAAGTGCACTAGTTTTTTTTTTTTTTTTTCGTTACTGTGAGAGATTGATATTTCCAAGCTTTTCAGTTCCACTAAACTAACAGAGCTAAATAATTCTTTCAAAGTTCAATGTACTTGAATGAATATTCAATTTTGTGGAACATTCATTAATGTTGCAGGTCTGTCCATTGTTGGCTCTTCAATTGGGCGCTCTGGGTGGAATGTTATTTATGATTTATCACAGAACGTTCGTTACGACAATCGACGTACAGTGAGTTTATCTTTATGTCATTGTTCTCCATAACAACTGATTGTGGATCGATAAATAATCGTAATTATAATGGTAGAATGGGTAATCAACGCTGGGAGATGCAGTCCAAACCGAAATTCATCGATCTGAGAAATCCCCGCTCCCTCAAGGTAATAAACCTCCCCAATACTCTTCAACCCTCACATACTCCATAATAATAAATAGATAAAAAAAGGCATGTCAATCGAATCGTAAATAGAGATCCGCCAAAATGAGAATGATCGAATTATCCCGGCAACCTCGAGATAATCATCTCCCTCCTCACCTAGCCAATATGCGTTGTCTAGTAGTACAACAGCAACTGAGCAAGGATACTTTGGCCTAAGTTAATTAACTCGGCTAGCCAATAATTCATCGAATCTCCGATATTTCTGTTAACCATTAAAGCCATCTGCACGAGGCAAGTGAAAGTTGCCAGTGCAACAAAAACGAACTTGATTAATTCGTGAGAGAAGTCAGGGCCTTGGGACAATGTGTATATCAAACGGAGGAAACATAAAATGTAAAGTTTGAAGAGTCATCATAATGTTTAGAGCAGTTAAAAGAAGGACATGAAAAGAGGGTGGTCTAACGAAGGTCCGAGCGTCTTGAAGGAACGAGTGGCAAAAAAGAAAAAGAGAAACAAAATAAATAAAAAAAAAAAAAAAGCCAACTCGGACTCTTCTGAGTGTACGAGACGACGACTGTATTCACCGTGGTTGATGTTGCGCGCACAGGCTGAATCGAGAGTGAGAGAACGCGCAGCTGGTGGATCAATACACCCTCCTCCACACCGTTCACCACCCCTCGGTGAAATCACCCACCCCCGTATACACATTGGACTCGAGTTGCTACCTCGTTGGCCGCTTGGGGGTGTCGCGTTCCGTTCCCTCTTTCTCTTGCACAAAATCCTACCACTCCACCCACCCCCTGGCCCTCATTTTTCAATGCCCCCCTGCGCCCCTTGAGCGAGCAATGGAGAGAGCGGCGCTCCCTCCGTTGCCAGGACGTTGTCGGCCAGCAGAGCCCCTTTGGTGGGGGATGACGAGGTGAGGCAAGGGTGCGCACGGGGTGCGGAGGCGCCGTCGCCAGCGAGCGACGCAGTGCCGTCGGGACGCTCGACCGAGTCGCTTATCTTATTCACCTCAACCATTCACCACGGTACACTACAGAATAGCGGGTTCAACAACTCAATCGCGATTACGTTTCAATTTTTTTTTTTATTTCCTCCCTTCGATATTGTCCCTGATTATTGATAAAATTTCATGACTTGTGCATGAAAATATGTGAGGAGCGACAACGCAGGTATGATACTATCACTGGACTTCAGCTGAAGAGTTCGGTGTCTGGAATATTGTCCTATCACAGCAGTACGCCTTCTCAAGTTACTGGTGTGATGGGACATTGTCCTGGATGCTGTGACATAGCAACGTGCATCATCCAGACGTACATCGCCGTTTAAATGAAACAAGTTGTTATAATGACCGAGTGTTAATAAGTGGTGGAACGTGTACTCTCATAAAAAATCTATAATACCTCGATTTTAAGGGCGTTAAACGATAAATCATTAAAGTTATAACGAATAATCTTGTGTGTCTGGTAGAGAATAAATGTTATCTCTGTGTATGGGTGAGAATTGAGAGAATGCTAGGAGTTTGGGGACAAGGGAGAAGAGGAGTTAGGGAAAGTAGCATTTCACCCCCGTACAGTAAACTCGGAAAAGCACGACTTTCACCGAGCACGCGCTCCACCCACATAAATTAAATGGATGGAATAATAGTGAGGAGGCGAAAGTATCCAAGTGCTTGGGTAAAATGAGGCGAAAACGGGGCTCCAGTTATCGGTGGGAGGGTGGGACAAAGGGGTTAATGAGGGCCCTCCCCGCGTATGTTGAAGAGCGTGGGTGGCCATGGAGAAATGAGAAAGATTAAAATAATGGAGGAATGGAGGGAAAAAACAAAATGAGAGATATTGAAAGAAAGATGGAGAGTGGCGCGTAGAAAAGGGCCACGTTTGCTCGGACGTAGAGGTGAAACGTTTTACCGGTCGATGGGGGAGCAGCTTCCGGTCGATAGAGGCGCGGCGCTCAACCCCCCGCAATATCCTTGGCTCATTTCAACTATTTAAATTCCACGTTAAACCCTAAATCATCTAAAACATTATTAATCACATTAGCAGACATAATGACGAGTGACATTGGTGATGCAACACAACGAGTATTGATTTTGTGTCAGACGAGAATGATGAAAATGGAAGGACTGTTGGAGGCCGAGGATAAAGTACACGTGTGCCAATTAATTATCTACGCGAGCATATCAAGGACTTCCTTTTGCCTCGGTCCTCCGATATTTCAATTCACCGATGGATTTTCATGGTTCTTCGCGATTGCACGATAATGTGAAGTGGATGTAATTGTGGATGATCTGTTGGTTGGGATGAGGAGGTGAAATATTTTTGATGTACCGGGGAATGGGTTGGTCACAGGCGAGGGGTGAAAATGTGGAAACGTGGATTGAGGGGTGGAAGAAGCAACCTTTGGTTGAGGGCACGTCCACCAGATGGCAACAACAACCGGGTGCCCCCCATTCAGTGGATGGAGATACTGTTTTTCTGATGTTTTCATTAATCATTGCAAATTCAGATTAATGCTCACATTTTTATCGGCCAAGTATCAATGTGGAATTTACTTTACGATGAGCAAATGAGAAGATACGTGAGAGACTTATTTGTGTAGAAATGCTATAATTTTAGATGTCTGTAGACAGTAGAAATTTTTTGGAGAAGACAAGGGCCAAGTTTATAACTTATAATAAATTGCCTCATTTTTTTTTCTCTCATTAAATATCAGTAGAAACATTCTAGGCACTTGTATTTAATTGAATAGTCCTTTCCTTTTATTCAACACTTTTCTATTGATTTTATGGAAGACTTGTATACGTGTGTTTATCATTATTTGATATTATAGATGTAGATGAGTATTAATAGGTCACTGAACAATATTAATATCTGCTGATAATAATTTTGCTGTTGCTTGAATAAATATTTACACCAAAATATCATTAACTTTCATTAGTTGAGAATACATATTGCACATTGTAGGCTGCTGTCATTGAGGGTAGACGTGTGTGTCACGTCAATTTATTTCGATTTTCACGGTAAAGTTGTTCATTAAGCACGCGTGAAGACACGTAGGTGAGATGAATATTAGCCATGTGAATGCCACTATATGTTCCCCTTTCATCCCCCTAAGACATTCGAAAATCACTCGTCTAAGTCTTATTTACATAAAGAAACCTTAAAAATTGCTTCATCCACCCACCCCCGCCTTCGGGATTTCTATTTTCCCCTTCCATGAACTCACGGAAATTGCAAAGCGTTTTTCAACTCAGCGTGAGAAGGATTATTCTCCCGAAACTCAATTCAAACCGTTTTATTCAATCTCTCAGTGAAGACAGAGATAAATGGAGGAGCTTCACAGAAATTGAAAAATAAATTTGCAAAACCCGTTACCCCCTGTCTCGGGAATTGACATAACAAAGTCATTTCCATGTCTAGTTCGATTTTTTTTTTCGAAATCCTATTTCACTGCAAGTCCCATTTATTTATTGTGTTCAATTTCCTATCTTTATTCTCCACTGATGGGTTATTGGATCAATACGAGGGGCTCCAATTAATCGACAGGGGCTTGCCCGCCCTCGACAGATGGTCAACGAAAAACAGTACATGCACTGGTGTGTAAAAGCTCGGAATCGACTAGATTTGGGGATGTAGAAAAATCGTTTGCTTTCAGTTTGTTCTTCCAACAAAGAGATCGTTATTAAGACTCACCGGCATTGAAATCCCCCAAACTCACGATAATTACACGATAATTACACGATAATTACTTCGATAATTCTTCGATCAGCCACTTCCTCATATTTTTCTTTCAATTCTCTCAGCTATCTCGGTCACCACCCAATTACCCATTTTACCCTCTCGAAACTCCAATCAATTTGGAAAATTAAATGTCTCAAACGACAAGTTTCTAATAATTTCGTTTATTCTCCCTCGTCATTGAATTCTCCACTAAGCATTGTTTCCGAAATTGAATTAGAACCCGTCCAATTCTTATCCCGCAAATTGGTATTAATTGATTTTTAGGGGATGAAAAATCGACGCGCCATCTCATGGTCAAAATGCGGATTGCCCTCATGGAGAACTAGGAAATAGCGGAATTCCCCGGAAAAGCGTAAAACGATATGGTTGGTCGATAAAAGCAGAGTCTAGAATTGTTTTACCGTCGGTAATACACGAGGTGATATCTGCGTTGCCAACGGGTGTCCGTCGAACGAATCCAGTAGGAATTCCGCTCATAATCGATTACTCTGAACAATAATTGCCCCAGGAAAGCATTTCATGGCCGTGGCATGAGTCTGGAATGTACTTGTTTCTCTGAGATTCTTAGGCTCTGCGGTTTGCTCATTGTCGGATGCCGGTGGCCCTTTCCCCCGAGCCCGAGAATCAAAGCTAATAACTTGGCGCTTGCCTTGACCGTACAGAATTTCCCAACTAATTGGCCCAACTTTGATAACATTTGGATTCGATCAGAGTAACCTGATCGCCAAATAAACCTCGGGAGAACCTGCGGTGACAATCTCGTGAATGCCTGGTGAAAATATATAAAAGGCAAATGGTTATTAAATTTTCGTTATGCAAGGGGTGCATTCCTTATCGCTATATCTAATGGGCACTTGATCGGTGCCAACGTATGCCCAATCGTGGATCTCGGTGGAATTCATTAACTAGAGACCTCATTCACAGTGTGTCTTATCGCGACGATCACTTCTGATTGCACGGTCTGGTCACAGAATAACTTTTTTCAACTCCTCGAGTGCATGACTAACGCTCCCCTTTATCCAGTCCTTTTTTTTTCCTTGCCATCAAACACGAAGTATGATTTAATATTTCCGGAGAACACTTGAGATGTGTTTATTCCACGATGCTGAGTGAATCCTAATGAGTTTAAATTCATTGGTTTTTATTCCACGAACACTAATTGCCCTTCCGCTGACTATTCATACTGTTTAGCCAATAATTCCACATGAACACTCGTGAATTTGATTAGTCAATTTGGAAACAACGATACTTGATT